TCCAAACGAGAGATTCGGGAAAGTTTCCATTTTTGAAGTTCAATTTCCTTTAAGTTTTAGTTTCCATTAAATCCAGAAATGACTCCTCTAAACACGAATCCCTAAACACGAATCTCTGGCGATGCACACCACACCAACTTAGTACCTAGGCTATGCCACTTCAAAGGAGGTGGAGAGTTCTTTCTCGCTCGAGTTGATAGAATTCCAAGATCCTGCCACAGTTAAGTAACACTGACTGATTTTGGTATTTCATTCTTGGCAATATCAGATAATAGTGTAAATGGCAAACTTGTCAGGGAACAAAATCCAGAACCATTCGATATATATGAAGTTGGATCCCTCAGAAGTTTAAATCCCTCATTATGGTTGCATTATTTGATGAATTAAACAAGCCCATCTGTGAAAAAAAATGAATGATCGTTTTTTCGTTAGACGCAGATCGTTCAAATCATATATCATTGAAATTGTACTAAGAAATGTCAAACAAGCTTAAAACACTCTTATAATTTATGATGATACTAGGGTTATAAAACTAATACTACTGGGGAAAATTTTCTAAAGATGCCTTTATAGGAAGCATACATATGCTTAAAAGCTCTTCCACTTTGCTTTTTAGTCTTGATGTCGCTTGTTGAGACAGCAGACCCAGAAATCTTGTTAACCTCGTACAACAATCCAGCCGAGAACAGGAAACTGCATTTGTGCAAATATGAGGAACATCACCAATGAGTTCATATGAAAATATGAAATGATGCATTTTAATGGTTTTTAAGTACTTAAGGATCCACAACTAGCCATTATGTTGCTGAGTTTTGGATATGATTTCCTCTTTACAAGCCAGACCACGATAATGACAATACTTTGCTACACTAGGTCATCATTAATTGCTAATATATTCTTGATAAGAATCCTTTTTGTTTCATTAAAAAAGGTGTACCTTTTGAAATAGAAACATCCTTATAATTTTTTGCAATTTGCAAGCATATATTAAGCAGCTAAAACTAATGCACTCACTCACGAAAGTGGTAAAATATGAAAAGCGATTTTCTCGAAATATGTTAAATAGAACGTGCACAATTTTGTTTAAGTAGTTGATATATTTGTTCTTAATAAAAAAAGGCGTCAGGCACCAATAAGTAGTTGAGGTCATATGATTGATTAACTAGGCCTTAAGAAGGTTTGACAACAATGTTATACTCAATTATCAGCAGTTTGATTATTCTAAGATAAGAGGTATGATTGCCTTTTGAATGTGTCCCTGCCTCATACTTTATTAAATACATCACATA